AGTGGAAACATGCAAAAGCAAGTAGTAAATGTTGGTGTTGGTAATGTAACCCAGCCAAATCAGACTACGTCACATCAGTTAATGGCGATACGCGGTCCGCGTGTTCTTCAGCGACCTCAAAAATCCTCAAGTATTGCAACAAAATATATTGATGAACCAGCAACAAAATAAGAATCAAGCATCAACACAAAGCTCCCCTATTCGGCAGCAAGTTGCTAGTTGCTCACCACAGCAGAAACCAAGTCAAAGTCAACAAGTTATAACAACTCAAGCTCAAGCGCAGAATCAAGTTCATCAAATAATGTTGCAACAAGTTAATCCCGTTCGTCATCAAATAGTTACACAACAGCGTGTAGTCCAACAACGGCCGCTGATTCGTACCCAACAACAGATTAATGTCGGACAGCAACAGATGAATCAACAAATTGTTCAACAAATAATTCAACAGCAACCTATGATTCAAGTCAATCAACAACATGTCAACACTCAACAACAGAATGTTATACAAATTCACCAAGGTCAATCTGTACAGCAACAAGCTGGGCAGCAGCAACAGAATATCATACAAATTCATCAAGCGCCGTCAAGTGGACTGCAGACCACGAATGCACAGCAAACAATGCTGATTAATCAACAACACGGAGGCCCGAGAGTGCCACAACCGATAGTGCGTGTTCAGCAGCTGCTGTACGGCATTGCAAGAGCACACACCAGGTGAAAACCGTACAGCAAGTACAACAGCAACTTGTTCAGCAAGCACTGAAACAACAGCAAGCTCTAAAGCAGCAGCAGATTGCACTGCAGCCAACAACAATTGCAACAGAACAAATCAAATAGCGTCCAGCAGAGCTCCACTCAACAGCAAATTATGGTGAAACCTAATCAGGACAACAAACAGGTAGTCATCCAGCAAGTCCTCCCGAATCACAGCGGCGGTACTTCGGTCATCAGTGCAACAGTCGGTGACGGTTCGACTCCGCCGACTATTCACATAAGTGCGCAGGCGCCTGGCGGAGTCGATCTGGAGAGCGAATTAAGGGAATATCTCGAAAGTGGAGGCGTTCTCACAGCTGATCAAGATGCCACTATTGCACAAATATTAATGGAATAATTATAATTCTGTAGCCATACACAAGGTGTTTTTATCCGTGTAAGCGCTTATGGTATAAACAATTTTTAAAATATTTATAAGTTGAGAAAGTTATATTTATATAGTTGAGAAAACTTATAAAAGTAGCACTTATAAAAGAGAAAGCTGAATTGGTAGCATATTGAAAAAAGTTAATTGCCATCAGTATAGGGAAAGCAATTGGTAAATGTTGGAACATCTGGTGCTGATCTATTGTTTGTGTGTATGGATTGATTGAGCATTTATTCACATCTACAATAAATTTACATAAAATGTGTTATAGATTATTATTTGTTATGTATTTGTACCATTGAATTTCATAATTCACCAAAATAGTAAAAGATGAGAATATTTTGGAAAACAGCACACTGAATAACTTTAAAGGCAGTGAAGATTTATTTGTATTGTTTAAAAACTTTACTGCTTCTGGTCTACAGGTCTATGTTATTGTATACATTGGACAAAAAATATTTTTTTAAATTTTAATATAAATTATATATTGATTAAATGTATATATGTAGTATTATATTTAATATGACATAATGACGTGATATATCTTGATAATTTAATAAACTTTCACATGTTTGTGAATAGTAGATTGTATATAATTTTTTTAGCTATTATACTTGTATATATTTACAATTTTAACATTTTCATGGAAGCCAATATAAATATAAAATTATATTATGCATTTGTCAAATTTTATTATGTAAATTATTACCTCTGTCCATTCGCTGTGATCACTTTCAAAATTGCCTAATGAGGTAATCATAATAATTTTCATTATGATTCAAATAAAACTTATTTTGTTATGCAATTGTACTTGAAATTGGTAAAATGCAGAAATGTAATATATAGTAGTATGATTATAACATGCAAATTGTTATTTTTTTATATGAACATTGTGGAATACCACGTGATATATGCATCATCCATTGAAAGATATGTCTTGAAAGCTAAATAAAATTGATCTAACCTCCTGAATGCAGCGGATTTAGAAAATTAATTAGAATTACTACACTTTACATATGGGCGTGATTGAAATGATTTTCTTCACAATCGAACAAATCATTTCAAAGACAACTCCATATCCTTCAATATCCAGATTCTTCAAGTGAGGATTATTCTTCTTATAAGTAATTACAATTAATCAGTTTGTGTAAGCAAATTAAAATTAATCTTGGCTCTTGTGTTACTAGTGCTTGTTTTTTATTATACCAACAGATTTATATTTTTATACTAATTTTGGTACTTATTTTTGTTTTATTATTGTTACACATTGAAATCTGTTTAGCCATTTCCTAGTTCTATTTTATTCAAGATCTTGTTTTTTTTTATTATGAATATCTAGTTATAAGTAGTAACAGCAAGAATACAAAATGTTTTAAAATTTTATTCGGATACATTTATTATTATAATTATTAATTATAATTACTAATTTAATATTCTGTAATAGCTGTCGTTCTAAAGATCGACTTACTATTTTCTGATACGCTACTTTCTTGTTCATTTCTGTGATGGTTTTGTTTAGAATCGTGGATGCAGATGATGCTATCGCAAACAAGGATTAATATATCGTCGGACAACGTTGCAGTAAAAATGAAATTAGTTATAAGGAAGTCAAAAGTGAATAAGATGTGAAGAAAAGAGGCCAAAGGACACTGTCTTGGGTACAATCCAAGAAATACAACAGTATTTCTTCGATTTATTTGACACTGTCGGGCGGCGGAATGCTTTTTTCGGCACTCCAATTGGTCTGGAGAGTATACTTAAGCATATCTTGAAGAAGTCTTGAAAACAAAATAGGAAGAAGACTTATAGGTACATATGTAAGAGGAGATAAAAGAGGAATGCACATCTGCTATGGAAATCATCTTGATTATTAATTATTTGTATTATTTCGGCAAGCCTCAGCATAGCCTTAAACGAGTAAGTAATCAATATAGAACGAAATATTCACAAACTTAGTTAACTAATTGTTCCTTTTTTATAGCTTATTCTGTATTTCCGTTAGTATTTTATTATTTCGAGCTTGATGATACTGTTGATTTCTGGCAAATAATAAATTAAAAGGTTGCTGAACATTATGGCATACCTTAGAAGAAATAAATGTATGTGTGTGTTCGAAAACAAATTTTCGTCGACGATTTCGGGAACACGAATCAACTGATTTGAATAATTCAAAAACCATTCGATTCGTATTGATGGGGAGATGTACTGATTACTACTCAGTGATTAGTATTTGGCAAAGGCAGGTCCAGCCGTTTCGAGGATACGGACCAAAAAGTGCCAAAATGGTAATTCAGTTCTTGTGAGCAAAAAGCGTCCGATTTGAATGATTCAGAAAACATTTTACATGTATTGACAAAACAAAGAACTAAAATTTAAATTTTTGGGAAGGCAGTTCCAAAAAAAAGTAAACAAAAATGCCATTTGGCGGTCAAAAATGTTCCTATAAGATCATTTTTGGCCGCCAAATCATTATAATGATTAATGACTTGTGAAGATTATACAAATTATCAGATATTTTATAGAGATTTTAATGAGAAGTACACATTTCGTTTACGCTTACGCGCTACGAAGCGCAATTGCTTTGAAATTTAAAAAAAATATATTTCAAAAATTTCAAATTTCGCAAAAATCTAATTTATTCAGTTTTTTTTAAATTTTGGTACTGGAAATCCTAGCAATTTGCCTCAAGACACGATGCCGTGGACCACTAGTTTATAAATTGATTGAAAAGTACAAGTGTTATACACGGACAGATGGCGAGTGTGTGCTTCAAGTTGTTAGCACATTACAAACAAGCGATTTAACATAAATCGTCACGTTTCACTTTGTAAAATATCTGTTGGTGAGGATCACTCTAATTAATTAGATATTAAGTTAACTGTATATTATGACTAGTTAATTGTATATCCCGGCACTATAAAAAAGTGAATAAAACAATTATTTCGTTTACGATATATATATTGTTCTTCACCCTACAACCTCCGTTACTTTCCTCTCGTTACTTTTGGTAGTCTCTCAGTTATCAAAAAATACAAGTATTTATATGCATATATTCACCCCCTACCCTGATGTATCCGGGGTTAAATGGAAAAAGACCTAGTCAAATCCTGACCAATTAATGTTCTCTTAATTTTCTCCAGAACCACCATTTAGTTATTAAACCACTACTTTATTTCAAAGTAAATTACTTTTGTTGAGAATTAAAGATTAGCTGATACTCTAATGTGGCAACAAGAACGTTGTTTCTTGTTTAAAAATATTCAAGTTCATGAAACATTCGTTATTAAAATAAAATTAAAAATATATTTCAAGTGAATGTTCAATCTAAATGCATATGTTCTTTCAAGATCATTTTCGTAGTTTTTTCGTTAATTTATTTTTGATAAGCATCAGCCACTATAATAAACTAGTGGGGTGTATGGCATCGTGCCTTAAGGCAAATTGCTGGAACTTCCCGTACAGTAACGAAATGTTCGAGGAATACTGAATGTTTTCAAATAGATTATTATAAATATTGTAACATAGACATAGTCTAATATTTATAAGAATTATATAAACTAAATTGCAAAGTTGAAATTATTCGTTTAAAGTATATTAGAACTTTAGTCAGAATTAAAAATAAAATCTGATTTATTTTCGATATACAAAAAAAATTTTTTTGAGAAAAAAAAATATTTTGAAACAAAATTTTTTTTTCAAAATCAATTATTTTGTTAAAGCAAGCTGAAAGTTCTTTGAATCATTTAAATCGGACGCTTAGTTCTCTCAAAAACTGTCATTTTTTTTAACATTTAGTTCTGTATCTTCGAAATGGCTGCGCCTACCTTTGCCAAAAACTAGTAACCACTTCTCCCAATCATTACTAATTGAATGCTTTTTAGATCATTCAAATCGGATACTCCGTTCCCTCAAAAACTCGATTTCTATTTTCTACATTCTTTGCTCTTTATCTCTGTAACTGCTGGACCTGTCTTTGCCAAAAACTAATCAGCACATCTCCCTATCAATAGGAATCGAATGTTTTTTGAAACATTCAAATCGGTTGATCCGTGCGCCTGAAAACGTGACCGAAAAATTGTATCCATACATACATACACACATACACACACATCCATTTTTTCGGAGGTATGCCAAAATGTTCAGAAACCTTCAAAACGTCGAGAAATGTAAAAATTTCAATTTCGATTTTTGGACAATTACAATAACTTACCCTACGGGAAGTTAATAAAATTAAATATTACACTGCATTCAATTTTGATACATTGTTTTTTTGAATTGTCATGCACAGTGAGAACACTAATCCTGAAATAAAACAAATTCATTTCATTTCATTTTCATTCAAATGAAAAACTCGTTAGATTTAATTAAAAATGAGTCAAAGTTTAATTATAACTAGTTGGTATTGGTATTTTGCCTTAAGGCAAGTTACATGAACTTTGCAATATGTGTAAATAATCTACTTAATCAATAAAAAATGCATTAATTTATGAGTGGTTAAAGTATGAAAACGAACGAACACGTTAACTCGGAATATTTTCTAAGAGCAAATTTTCAAAATAAACAATTTTTATAATTGAACTAGTTTCCGTAGGACTTCAATGCTTTAGTTCTTTAGTTAAAATTTATTTATAACTTTATTTTACTTTAATTATTTTAGTTAAAAAAAATTTAGCACTTTATTACAAGAAAACGGCCCGGCCGATCTCTACCAAAAACTAATCAGCACGAATCCCAACCAATATCTTTCGAATGGTTTTTGAATTTTCATAATCGATTAAGAATTGCGGGCTAAAATGTGGACGAAAAATTTTTCACTTTTCTGCGATTTACAAAGAAACGGCTCGGCCGAACGTAGCGCGCGATAAACAAAAAATTTTGAAATCGGTCCAGCCGTTTTTGAGAAAACGTCGATTTACGGCAAAAAATCTGTTCACATACACATACACACACACATACTTTTTCCAAATTTG